TCAACACTCCAGACTGCCTGGACATCCCGTCAGCAGCAGCTGGAGGAGGAGAGGGAGGAGGAGGTGGAGGAGGAGGGGAAGGGAAGGAGTTATACTAGGAGGAGGGAGTCTGTTCCGCTTGGATGACCGGAGCCGTGAGGAGTCTGGTAGGGTGGAGGCAGACAGACAACACTGCTCTCTCTCTCTCTTCTTCCTTCTTCTACTGTCTCTCTCTTTTCTGCGTGCGTCCCGCTCGGGCTCCAGCTCGGCTCAAGGAGGGAGGTAAAAGGAAGGGAGGGAGTGAGCCTCTTGACGCATCGGGAGAGAGTGAGCACACCAGGGCTTCACTTTACAATATGCAACCTGCGAGACGCCACGCCGTAAACTAGGCTCCTGACTCCGAGAGAGAAAGAGAGGAAGCATGGAGGGACAGTAGGAACCGCGCACAACGACACAGCCCGTCCTTGTAACGCTGCACAAAAGAAAGAGCAGCATCTTTGCGCGCAAGTCACACGGATACTTCTTTTTTTTTTGCCCGGGAGCGTCGCCGAGACTCGGCAGTGATGTCTGTGTGCACAATTGTCTTCAGTGATAACATACGGATTATTCTGAGGCTGTGAATTCCTTGGAGACATTACTGCTGAAAGGACAGGTAAGAATATTATTATTATTTTCCATACGGGAACAAATGGCATCTCCATCAGCGGCACTTCAGACACATGAGCCCCAGTCTAGTAACTTTTCACAGATTACATTAAAACCTTGTACAGGAATTGCCTTCTCTGAATTTCACCCTGCGTTGATCTCATTTGCCTGTCTACTTTGTTGTGGGACTATCATGATAGAAGCAAAGTAATCTGTGAGTGTGTATGTGTGTGTGAGAGTGTCTCCCATCAGTGCAGATGTTTAGTAATCCTGGTGCGTTGACCCTCCCATGAATAATCCCCGCGGATTTAGCAGATTATGCTGCCCGTCTCTCAGTGTTGACCACACATTGGTGTATCGTCCTGGATACTGCCGGATTTAACCGGAAAACGCGGAAAAAAAACAAAAAAAAACTTGTGATTCAACCCTAAAACGACATATTTAAAAATAAGTAGTGAATAATGTGAGGAAACAACATGTTTATTAATGCACTTAAATTAAACTATTTCAATGAAAGTTTGTTTATGTTGTTGCTCCTAAAAGGGTATCATAATGATTCATGCCACTGCTCTAATGTTTATTAAAGCATCTGTCACTCACTATGTAAAGTGTCCAATGCCAGCCTGTGATTGGGCTGGAGTGATGGCCAGCAAATGCCATATAAACCTACTTTAATATGTTTAATAGATATGAGCATCTGTGCAGCTTCAGCACATTGGGCGTGCCAACTTCTGTTAAAACTGCTCACTCAAATTATAGCATCAAGTGATTCCCGTGGACTTTTTATTTTATTTTATTCTCTGGAAACACAAAAGTAAACCTAGTGTGTGGAAGCACAGGAAGGAAAAAGCATCACCTGTCAGAGCAGTGCTATCATGCTGCAAATGAGCATCTATCTGATGGTGTTCGCACATTGTTCATTCACCATTAAATCTGAGGCTGCTCCGGAAAGTCTGCGTGTGATCTGTTGCATTGACTTTTCATCGGACTTGACAAGAGCTGAACTTCTTTTAAAGGTTAGAGGAGGGGGAAAAAAAGATACAACTTCACCTTAAAAGTGTCCAGACGGATTAATCCACAGCTCAGTCTTGATTTGTGAAACATGAGCGTTGATAAAAGCCTGAGACAAGAGAACAGTTCTCTCTTGAGATCTAAGCATAAATATTTAAGGTTTTAAGACATGGTTGAATTAAAGTCTGAGGAGCAGATTTAACTATGTTTCCACATGAAAACACATTTAAGCACAAACTGAAGCTTAGTTAACACGTTGACATTTCTGCGTCACGCAGCCCAGCATGCCTGACTGACAGGAAAACAGCCCGTTAATTATTGGTTGACGTCCTGGAAGCCACGTTCCTGCAATAGGTGACAAAGCACAGTAGTGACATTACAAATATCCCGTGAAGGTGCTTTTAGAGGCGCGTCATAAAGATTTTATCAAGTAGTTTCTGGGGGAAGTATCGAAAGAACTGTGTCACCAAGCAGTGGCGGCCGGCCCATAGGGGCGCTAGGGGCGCCGCCCCCCTCTTCCCACATGTTTGATTGTCATTACAAATTAAAAATTAATAAAAAATATATTTCCAAAAAATATATATTTTTTATTTTTATTTTTAAAGAACAAGGTAAATATTATATAGTTGGTATCAGTAAAATGTATAATCTACAATAAAATGTCGTTTAGAATTGTTTTACGATGTCTAAAGTTACTGATAAATCACATGTTTCCTGCCTGGCCGCAGCGTGTATCATTACCCTCTCTCGTCCGGGCGGTAGAAAAGAGCCCTCAGCCAGAGCAGCTGCAACCAACAAGCTGACTGTTGCTATCTGTAAACTATGCCGCCGAAACAAAATTTCAGCCAATCAGCGTCGTCAGATCTGATGCTCAAAGGGCGCCCTTTCAGCGCCCCGGCCTGTGTGTCTGTTTAGACTCGTATCAAAGGTGACGCTACAGTAGGGGATGGCTGCGTCTGCAGGTGTAGACTCCGGTGCTAGTGGATCGCCAGAGCTGTAGATTAACATTTGCATGCTTATTGTAGTTGTAAGGGCAATGCCTGTGGCACCATGGAGCATATGTGTGGGTCCTTTACAGGAAAGGAGTGATCAGAGGGTCGAGTTGTCGATTCTTGTTCAGTTTTCATCTTCCTCACCCTCTCAGACTTTGAGTTGAGAGTCCAAAAATAGTCTCAAGTCCAAAAATATGCAACTCGAGTCAAGTCATGTGACTCGAGTCCCCACCTCTGGTGTATACGTGTGTGTGTTTGTGTATTTTTGCGTTTGTGTGTATTGTGTTTGTTTCCCGGGGAAAACACTCACGAGAAACACCGGCTGTTGTTATGCTTACTGTGACGTCAAGTTCTCGGCTTGTAATTATGCCGTTACAAGCTTGAAAGTTGTATTTATCATCTGAATTTGCCTTAACAAGTTTAATATTCTGAAAGCCAAGACTTTGTTTATTTGAAATCAGATGAAAACAAACTGTAACGGACCCTGCCGTGTTATCTATGATTACTATACGCCTTACATTCAGTTGCAAGTGAGAGCTGTCTTCTTCCCTTTACAAGCTGGCGACTCCCCCTTCAGCCATCTAGCCTTTATATATATCTATGCGGAAACCCCTCACATCGAAAACAACAACAATGACCAATTTTATTGAAGCTCTGTCGAAACGAAATGGAAGAAATGGGACGACTTTACTACCAACTTTACAGGCGTTACATGCTACATTCAAAAGTTCTTTACAATCATCAACCTCAACGACGATTCCGTAGGAGAAAAAAGGTAAATATTAGGGCTGTCAAGTTAACGCATTAACAATTAACGCCACTAATTATTTTAACGTGATTAACGCATATGTATTTTTTGTCCTCGGCCGCCCCGTAGATTCAGAGCGCATCGAGTTTAAAATACCATCTACAAGCTGATGCTGACAGCCCCGCTCCTGCCGTCCGCTTGCTGCAGACCACACTTCCACGCTTACCAGCAGGCACCGTCTGGCCATCGGGAAGACAGGGAGGGCGTATGTATGTGTGGCGCGAGCGAGCGAGAGAGAACGGGGCACACCTTACGTGTATTGTTGTTGTTAGCATCTGGTGCTAGCTAGCTGCGCTAACGGATATAAGGAGCTGTTTAAATGAAAACAGAGGAGTGACATTTCGCCGAAAACTGCGCCGAGCGCTTGACTTTATGCAGGTAGCCAGACAGTGGGACATTGTACGAAAACTCAGCACACTCAGCACGGATAGTGCGCGCAACATGATTGCAGCGTCCAGGCAGCTCCCGTTCGAGCATATGCCTTGAGTTACACATAGCTCCAACGATCCATCACAGTATCTCTCCACACACACACACACACACACACACACACACACACACACACACACACACACATTTACTTAGACACACACACATACACATACACATTTACACTTGCACTTTCTCACATACACACACTCATTTCCTTAGACACGTATTGTATTATTGTATTGTATGAGAGAGGTTCCAGGTTGAATTGAGGCGGATATTTTTAAGGTTCAGAGGTTGTTGTTTAATATTCATGAGAATATTTGTCATTGTTCAAATGATAATAAACAAACATTTGCATAAAGCATATTTGTCCAATCATATGTTGATAAGAGTATTAAAAACTTGAAAAATATCCCTCTCAGGAACATTTAGAACAGATAAAAAATGTGCGATTAATTTGCGATTATTCGCCATTAACTATGGACAATCATGTGATTAATCNCTTGTTCTGTTTTCTGTGAATATCTGCCTCAACCTCTCAGACTTTGAGTTGCGCGCGCTACTAAAGAGACGTGTTACCATGGAAACCAAACAATGGTGTAGCTGTATTAAAGTCCGAGTGGAAACAATCGTGTGTAAATCAGATTTTGTCAGAAATCGGGAGAAATGCGGGAGAAATATGACCCCGGGAGGAAACCGGGAGAGGGCAATGAAATCGGGAGTCTCCCGCGAAAATCGGGAGGGTTGACAAGTATGGTTGTGGCTAATATTCCTACATTACTTGCCACTTGAGTAATTTTGCTAGAAAGAAAACTAAGTTCTTGGTTAGCACAACTACCCAATTTTAGTCTAGTTTTTAGTTTTCATGATTGAGCCCCAATAGTTAAAATATATTTTCCTCGAGAGAGTCAACCAAATGCAGCATGCCTTGTGGTCAGAATACTTTATTCATGTTGGCAAAAGCTGATTGATTTTCATTCAGACTCCTAAATGAGTGCTAACTCTACTAGCTGGAGAATAGTTTATAGAGTATATCAATCTATGTATTTGTATCTCATAAAACCATCTACTTATGTCTTGTAGTGTTAAAGACTGTTGCTTCCTTTCTTAATTTAATTATCTTCCATTTTTAGGAGAAAGACGACAACATCATCTTCAAGAACGAGATCACATCTGCTAACCCGCTTGATGTAATTACCAGGCAGCACGGCGTTGAGATTGTCTTCTTCTGCTGCTATCCAAAGCAAACCAACTTGACCCTGGGATTCACGCACAAAAACCCGTACGCCTTCCAAGATAAGGGATTCGGTGCATTCACATTCGAGTTTGAATTTTTTGAAACCCAGCGTTTCGAAAAACAAGTTGACTCCAACGTTTACCCAGTGGAGGTATACCTCAAACAGATGATGTTCATGCAGATCGAAGCGACAACCTCCATCCCCAACACTGAGCTGTTTGTGGAGACCTGCAAGGCGTCTCCATATGACAACGCCAACTCTCAAATCAGCTACACCATCATCGAAAACGGGTAGGGTATATACTCACCAAAGAGGCTTTTGTTTGATCCATATGAGAAATGCCTTCATTTATTCTAATAAACCGTTGTATCAACATTATGTAACAGGTGCATGAGGGACGACACGGTTACAATCTACCCTGGCCCCAAGACTCACTTCAGATTTGGAATGGAGGCTTTTGAGTTCATCGGTGCTCATGAATCGGTAAGGTTACTTTTTCTGAAACACAAACGTTTTTAGTCAAAATATTATACGTCTATCATCAGTACGTTGGAACTAGTAAAAAATATACATTTATTTGGAATAAGTATTTGTACCAGAGCAATAGATAAGGAAAGTAACCCAATTTATATATTGTGCTTTTGTAAAGGACTTGTACTGTAGTCTGCATATTGTGGTGCAGGGATGACATATATTTGTGTTTGCCAATACGGAGTTTGGCAGTGCACTGGTCACCTCAACAAAAAACAATGGGAACTTTCCTTCGGCTTTTGGAATATTCATGGAAAGTTAAATTTCTATGAGACTCATGTTTGATCAGCAGGACAATCTCCACATTTTATCACCACCTTACGTTTCTTTTTTATAAAAAGTTAACGTTAGGCTATAAAAGAACTACAGAATGGTTATATGACTTCAAGTCACCTCCGCTAAGCTAAAGGCGGCTAAGGTTGGGCGTGATGAAGTTTAATCACCTTTTTTATTCACCAGTGGGGTATTTACTGATGTATTTTCTGTAACGTTCCAGGCATTTAATAACAAAGCTGACTTTGAGGCAAGCTTATGTTTTAATATATTAGGAATTGTTACTTTACCTATTTATGAAGTTTATACTTTGTTAAGAATGTACAAATGACTTTTCTTTCTTGACTGACTTTACCTCCATCTGTCTGCAGGTGTACATCACTTGCACCGTCATCCTGTGTCAGACTGGCGTTCCAGGGACCAGGTGCTCTCAGGGATGTATCCAATCCAACTCAGGCAGAAAAAGAAGGGAAACTGGGGCCGAGTCCTCCAGCCACTCCATTTCCCAGGGACCTTTGCGCCTGGCAAACATTTCAGACAGCAAATGTAAGTGTCCACATACACAGCTGCACAAACTACATCCTACAAAGTTTCAACCAATACTGAACTTTATGACGATAGGTGTCCCTAGTGAACTGGCAGACAAGTGTACCCACATATAGCACCACCCATAGTAATCAGCCCGAAAACAATGGCTGTTATCACAATCATTATGTTGTGAAATGCTAACATTTTCAAAATTGTGCTTAGAGTATTCATTTCGTGCTTCAGTAAAATATCATGGTTTTGTTTGTTATATAACTTAGGTGAGATATCTAAGTTAAAGTGGACCTATCATGCTATATTTGAATAATATAGTGTAGGACCATACCTATATAAGGCATATTTATACTTTTTATTTTTCAAAATACCAAACAGATCATGCATTTTAGCCATTCCTCATTTCGCTCAATTTAACACTGTCTTTGCATCATGGGCTGATTCTGTGAGAACAGCACCATCTGGTGGCCTGGCATGTGTACTACAGCGTCTCCAGCACTTTCCAACGGCAATGTCCGTGGCTGTCTCCTCCTGATTGGTGGAGTTGGCCCAATAGCCGTAGCGCCACTTCTGTGACGTCATAGAAGTGTTCAAATATGGATCAGTCTGTGTCAGATCCGTTGCAGACCCTTTTTAAGAGATTTGGGTATGGAGGAAAATAGAGAGGGTTGTGTTTTCTGACACTTGGTGAGTTCCCTGGAACACCAGGGACACATGTTCATGTATTAAAGACGTACAAAAGTGCATTTTGCATGATAGGTCACCTTTAAGTACCTCTCGTAAGTTGAAATAACATGTAGTATTTTGGTTTAACTACGGGACACGGACAACGGTATCTTGGTTGAAAGCCCTGTTCATTGACCCATACTTCCAAACCAACCTTTTCTCCTCCGCGGACTTTGTTCTTTATCATAGATATAATACAAATGTTCTCTAGGATCCGGGTTCTCCTCCTGGTTATGCAGCTCACTAAATATGCCCAATATTGGACAAGCCACCATAAGATTATTCAATACACTGTGAAATATGTAGTTTGATTTAACTACAGGGATATGATTCAGAATAATCCGATATTTTGTATGAAACAAATATATATATATATAAAGCTAATGGTTGTCTTTTTCTTGTTCTTCCATTTCAGTATCTGGTCCGAGCATGAGTCTTGGCATGAACATCCTCCTTGTTGCCGGCTGCTTCCTGGTATGCGGAGCAGTAATCTATCGTTCAAGGAGGTCCAGAGCTAAATACATGCCCCTGCCATCCTTTGAGTCAGACTAAACACAGAAATGCCCTTTTGAACTTCTCTGATTATAAGAAAGATTATCAGAGACTGTGTAATGTTTACTATAGTCAATGTGTTTAGGGTATTGGTGGTTTGAATCTCACTGTCTAAAAGTGTGTCTTTGCTTTTACATGGGTGAAAGACTAATTCATTATTCAGTTTTTCGTGGGCAGTTTTTCACACCCCAGTGGACAGTCAGAAAATGTATGAAAGAAAGGAGGCATAGTTTTTATATGAAGGAGTCCACAAATTAATCTCTGTGGACATGAAGTATCTGCAGTTCAATCAAAGTTATAAACTTTTCTTCAATTACTTTAAATCCAGGACATGGGACACCAATGTGACATATTGTCAAGGTTAATAGGGGGACAAAGTAAAGCAACAAGAAGGTAACAATGATTAAAAAAAAGAGAAGGTAATGAACAAAATGCTTTATATACCTTCCAATAAGAGAAACACATCATCCAAATAAATAAATGAGCAAATGCATGATAATAATGGTTATAAGAAAAACAAAATAAAAATACTTTGAAAAAGAAATCTGTTTTTTGGTTGTTGATTCCCACAATGTATGTTAATTAAAAAGCAATATACCGGTTATCTGACAATTTGGAATTGCTATACTTCTTATAAAAATGTTCAATGGTCCATAGTATGTCTCTCATATATGTCAACTTTAAAATCACTTTCATTATGTCCCTCCCTTTCTCTGCACTGTGGATTGGTTATTTGGAAATAGTATACACGTTATCTATTTAAGATTTAGAGATGGTTAAGTTATCTTTAGCTCATGGGTCACATGAATCCACTTTCAGTTGTCCCTTTGTTTCCTTTGTTTTTCTTGTGACCAACTTTTTGTTGTTTCCTACTGTAGTTGCCAAGGTTCTTATAAACACAGATATATATCTTGTAAACGATAATACAATAAGAAAGACAAAAACAAAGAAAGAAAAAGATAGGGAGTCCCTTTCCCACGCCACCCGGTCCCTCCCCCTTTCCACCCCTCATGCCATTTCACAGAAATCATACCTGATGCTTGTTAGCAATCGTCTGAGTTGCCCCAAGCCTGTTTTTCAGGTTTCAGGCTCAAAAATGACATTCCCAGAACAAATGACCATATCTTCCCTTCTAAAAGGGTTAAATTAATAATCTTTTTTCTCAAAGTAATGATAAACCTGTGAGTTGGATGTAGAAAAGTCAGAATCAATATAGATCTTTTTATTTTAAAGAAAATTCAGATTGAACATTATATATATTATAGTGTCCGTCCAAAACATATGTTGTACTTATAGTGAAAACTAACCTTGGATGATGGGTTAGTAGACTAAAAGCTTTAGGAATCCAAAGTACAACATATAATAAATACCCTGTATTAAGACTTGATGCAAAACAAGTTNGTTGCAACAACAACAGCTGCACCAACAACAGTTGCAACAACAACAGCTGCACCAACAACAACAGCTGCTCCAACAACACTTCCACCAACAACAACAGCTGCACCAACAACAACAGCTCCTTACAGATGGACAATTGCTCCTTTGAGCAAGCTTTCTCTGCAGTTTAGTGTTCAAGGTGAGGCAAACATTTTCTTTTTTTAATATAGGTATTTACTACGGTGGCCATCAGGGGCCAACTCGCTACAACGGCCTCAAAACATTAACAATAGGAGAAACCCACAGCATTTTCAAATACGATGCAAGCGAAGAAACATCTTCACCAATTTGACAACACGCACAGCGTTTAGAAAACATTCCCCAACTTGACGAAACATGGTTTCCATTATATTTGGAGTTTCGTGCAGCATTTTTTATTTGCAGCGTTGTAACGTTTTTTTAATTTTTAGTCTGACTTACAGGATGTATTCAGTCAGGCTTCTTCATTGGACTTAAAAGGAGGGCTACATTTTGGCTAAGGACTGTTTGAACAAAATCCTTTCAATAGTTTTTCTATTTTATTGTAAATAAATGCCCTGTCACATTGAATTATTTCAGGTCGTGTATTTTTTTGTCTTGGCAACTGTCTGCAAAGCATATGTACTGATTTAATCCACAAGAGAGTCTTGATGTTCTCTGCAATTAGGTAGAAACATATGCATGGATTTATGTTCATCTCAGGAAAAAATGTTATATTGTATGATCCTTATGCATATAGTAATAACACTGATTGGAATATTAACATTCAATCCATTTAATCCTTTTTCTCTTCTCTCCCCTGACCTTTAGTGGACTCACACGCTCCCCACTCGTGCCTTGATGGTGATTACTTTCCCATTTTCTTGGCGCCAACTCCGAGCAATGGAGTGAATCTTCCTGCGTTTGTTAACAAAACCCTCGAAATCAAAGTCAAATCCAGAGCCCAATATTCCACGTAAGGAAATATAATGTTAAATATAATGTCTATTTTAGCAGCAAAGTGTTTTGATTAATGTGTTAATGTAATATGCAGCAATATAACAATGAAAAAGCTTCTCCTGGATCTCATTTATGATAAATTACTTATTTTAACTTATAATGTTTCCCCTTTCAAGTTATAACATAGTGTTCTCTATCTCTCTAGAATCCATAACTTGATTGTTACTGGACCAATGGGCATTTCGAAAGAGAACATCTCTGCAGAAGAATATATCATAAAATGGACACCAACTGAAAATGAACTGAACGACCATTTTCCTATTTGCTTTGTTTCTGAAGCAATTGATGAGTGAGTTTTAAGTCAATCAGGTTAAATAAGAATGCTACACTTGCACCCATTCAATATTTTTATAAAATACCTACTTTGTCTATTTTCCTTTGAGAAATTCCCTGATAAACCATTCATATCATTTATGCTATCTATATTTCATTTCAAGATGGGGCCGAGTCTTTCAATCCGAGCTACGCTGCATCATTGTAGATGTCGGACACTATGGTTAGTTAACTTTTTCTTCCATTGATCACTTATGTAGACCATGATTATGTCCAATACATTTGATATTAAGTGGATGGATGTCAAGTTTTAAAGCCTGGAGATTTAAACTGATTATATGAGTACAAATAAACACATGTTACCGATTTCTAGAGACCAAAGTGACATGCAGTGAAACAACAATGACGGTGGAAGTGGAGAAGTCCTACCTTATCAGACAACATGAAGACAACTTGCATCTGAAAGCTTTGGGCGATTCTTCCTGCAACCTGGCAACGCGCTCCAACGCGACCCACCTGGTGGCGGTCATGTCGCTAAATGCATGTGGAACCTTTGTAGAGGTACACAAAAAAACTCTATCGCTTTTCTTAAAAGGACGTTTGGCTGAACACATCTGCATATTTCTTTGTTTGATGTAAAACAAAAACGGTTAGGCTAGGGCTATCACAATATCAGACCTTCGCAACACCATTTTCTTGGCCAAAAGGAAATATGGAATACGGTTTATTGTGCATTTTGTCCCTTTTTCTCAAATTAACAATGCTCCAAATAAGATTTTAAGGGGGTAGAAAGAGTCTAGAACAATACATGTTTAACAGCATGTATTACTTATCTTCTCTGTTACTTACAATAACATCACAAGTAACAGAAACAAAACAACACAAACCTCCAGAACAGCAACTTCACATCATAATTCAAAAGGTTTTACTCAATCTTTGTTGTGGCCATACTTGCCAACCTTTAAACCTCAGAAATCGGGAGCATTTCAAAATGCAAAATTGGGGGGGGGTGCTAGTGGAT